AAATGGACAAAGGAGCTGAATAGACATTTCTCAAAGGAAAATATATGGATGGTCAACAGACACATGAAAAAATGCTCAACACCACTCAGCATCTGGGAAATGCAAATCAAGACACTTTGAGATACAACTCATTCCAGTCAGGATGGCTAATATCCAAAAGACTGAGAATGATAAGTGCTGTAGAGGTTGTGGGGAAAAGGAACTCTCATACACTGTTGGTGGGGCTGCAAAATGGTGCAGCCTTTATGGAAAATGGTATGGAGGTTCCTCAAACAATTACAGATAGAGATACCATACGACCCAGCTATTCCACTGCTGGGAATATACCCACAGGAATGTAAATCATCATGCCGAAGGGATACCTGTACTCCAATGTTTATTGTGGCACTATATACAATAGCCAAGAGTTGGAACCAGCCCAAATGTCCATCATCAGATGAGTGAATAAGGAAATTGTGATATATCTACACAATGGAATACTACTCTGACATAAAGAAGAATGAAATACTACCATTTGCAACAACATGGATGGACTTAGAGAAAATTATATTAAGTGAAACAAGTCAGGCACAGTAAGAGAACTGCCACGTGTTCTTACTTATTTGTGGGAGCTAAAAATAAATAAATAAATAAACACACAAACATGAGGGGGAAGAAGACACAACAATCACAATTCCTTGAACTTTTTAAGACAAGTGAATAGATATGATGTAGGGGGGAGGGGAGAGAGAGAAGGGGAAGAGGACCAGATACATGGTCATGAAAATTAACTACCATGTATATTGAGAATTTAAAATTTTTAAAAAGAATATATTAAAAAGTTACAGTAATTAAAACAGTGTGATACTGTCTAAAGACGGACACATAAACCAATTGAACAGAATAGACAGACCCAAAATAAACCCACACATGCACAGTCAACTAATCTTTGAAAAGGGTATCAAAAATACATAATGAGGAAAGGATAGTGTATTCAACAAAAGGTGCTGGGAAAACTGTATATCCATTTGCAGAAGAATGAAATTGAACCCTTAACACCATACACAAAAATCAATTCAAAATGGTTTCAAACTTAAACGTAAGATGTGAAACAGTAAAACTCCTAGAAGAAAACATAAGGGAAAAGCTTCTTGCCATTAGTCTTGGCAATAACCAATTCTTGAATATGACACCAAAAGCACAGGCAACAAAAGCAAAAATAGACATAAGTACTGAATTGTTCACTTAAAAATTTTAGTAGACCTCATGTTATATGCTCTTACCCTCAAAAGAGGGGACCTAAATGAAAAAAAAGGACCATAAAAGAAATATTTAGAAAGGACAAACTTTCTGAAAGAAGCTAGGTCTAAATAATAACTTTGAACACAGACCCTCTGCCCCTGTTTGTTCAATTCATAGAAATATTTTTAAACTATCTTTAAGTTTATGTTTTAATAGCTCTGGAGATCAATTATAAGACAAGAATTTCACCTCATCTCATTTTTAAAAGTACATTTAGGTAATTGTAAATATTTTTAAGAAGTGAGATGATTTACTTCATAATTTCCACCACCATAAATATGAAATATTGAATTAAGAAAGGCTTAACTTCTGTATATGTAAACTTTTATAATATTTTATGGGCATTTTTAAAAATTCTACCACATGAATCAATCCGCAAATAAGAATTCAGAATCAAAATCATGTATATAGCGACTTCCAGTCAAGATGGCGGAAGATGGTCCCCAGCGTCACTCTCTCCCACAAACCAACCAATTTGCAATGATAAAAAAGCAACGATAGCCAACCTGGGACTGCTAGAGCTCAGGGGACGAGGAGGAGAGACCTACAGAGTGCATGAAACTGGGAGAAGCTACAATGAAAGGAAGAAAAAAATGCTCCAACCATTTCAAAACCTGGCTGCTTCCAGGCTGGAGCTGCTGAGTGCACAGAGCAGAAGCTGGCAAAAAGCTGCAGTTGCACCTTTCAGATGAAGTTGCTTGGAGGCAGCAGAGGAGAAGAGGGCTTTTGTGGCCCCCAGGCCAGTAATACCACTAATAGGGTTCCCGTGGACCCACATAGGACTGAAGAGCCACAACAGCTGAAAAACAGGAGCCACTCAGAGGCTGGTGAGTCATTGCAAGAGACCAGAGCACAGCCTGTCCTATGGGAAGTGTTTACAGTATGGGTGGTGGGGGAGATGGGCCCACTAGTAGAACACTGGGGCACAGCAAGGACAGCTGATCTGCCCTCCAATCAGTGTAGGACCACTCAGAGGAGACTGGTCAGGAATATAGAATTGCACGGGGTGCTGTTTGATGAAAAGACTCAGGCCCAGACCAGTGTTTCTACACAACCCAGGTGCATGGGATTTCACTAGACCTGGATGTACCTATAAAGTCAACCATTAAAACCTGAGCTGCACAAAAAGCCTTCCCTAGGGAATCAGCAGCAAAGCAGCAATTTAACTAAACCACACAGCTCGAGTACTGTTCTGCACAGGAAGTTCCCCATTTTAGAAATAAGCAAAGGATGACAAATTAGTTCCAGGGTAGGGTTTAATTGGTGGGAACAGCAAATAATCCAACACAGAACTGAAAGAAAAAACAAAGTACCCACAACCAGAGACAAAGTTTGATATTAACTGGTAAAGGTCTCATTTCACCAGAGAACACTTGTGACACATAGAAGGACTGGAAGTTCCCTGGATAACCAAGCCAGAAAGCAGTGAGAGTCGGGGGCCTCAGCCATTCCCCCTGACACCTGCAACCAGTCTCAAGATTTGGGGACGAGGGCCTTGGCCACGTACCAACCCCCCACACTGAAAGTGCAACTACCCCAGTGACAACCACTGAGCCACCGCAGGAAGCACCCCAGGCTCTCCCCAGCTGGTGGGGGGGGGGCAAGGGCCTCATTCATGCCCCCCCAACACAAGCAACCAGCTGGGAGATGACCATGGAGCCACTGCAGGAAGCACCCCAGACTCTCCCATTCTGAAGCGGTGGAGGTCAAGGGCCTCACCATGAACCTCCAACACATGCAACCAGCCCAGCGATGACCACCAAGCTTCAGCAAAAAGGGCCCTGGGTTCCCAAACTGGGGTGGTGGGAGGCAAGGCTTTTGCCCACCACCTTGACATCTGCACCCAGCCCGGCAATGACCAAGGCACTGCTGGAAGCCCCACGGTCTCTGTGGGGGGTGCTGCAGGTCTCAATCCCACCCCTCCTCCTTCCTCTTCTTCCATCACATTTCCTTCCCCTTTTCCTTCTCCCTTTCCTTCCAACTGCTCCACAACATCATAGAATATAAAAAATATATTAATAAAATATTTTTTTTAAATCGGGTATATAAAATGTCTTAAACATATTGGCTTTTTGCTACAATTTTTGCAGAGTAAAAAATGTTTCCCTTCCTCCACTTTTGGTGGGTCTGTAAATTAATGCAGCCATTATGGAGAACAGTATGCAGATTCCTCAAATAACTACAGATAGAACTGCCATATGATCTAGCAATCCCACTGCTAGATATATACCCAAATGAATAATAATCATCATGGTGAAGGGATACCAGAACTCCCATGTTTATCATAGCTCTATTTACAATAGCTAAGAGTTAGAATCAACATAAATGTCCACAGACAGACAACTGGATAAGGAAAATGAGGTATATATACATAATAGAAAACTATTCAGCCATAAAGAAGAATGAAATTCTCCCATTTGCAGTAACATGGATGAACTTATAGAAAATTATGTTAAGTGAAATAAGCCAGGCACAGAAAGAGAAATACCACATGTCCTCACCCATAAGTGGAAACTAAAAATAATAATAATAATAAGCAAATAAATAAAAAAACAAAGATACAACAATCACAATAATTTGTTGAATTTTCAAGGAGAGAACAGACCTGAGGCCACCAGAGGTGGAAAAGGGAAAGGGGGAGTAGCAAAAAATTGGTAAAGGTCAAAAAAAATGATTACATTATGTAATGTTGAATACACTAATTATCCTCATTTGAGCATCACTTATTGCACATAGGTATTGATATTCAATGCTGTACCCCCAAGATACCATCAATTATGTTTCAATAAATAAAAAAGTAAACAAAAAATTATTAAAAATAAATAAATAAATAAAATTTTTAAAGTTTCCTATTCTTAGATATCCTTATTAGAATTAATGTAATCTCTGATACTGTGAACTTCCGTAGTACAATTCCATTTTCCAATAAATTTTTTCAGTGTGATTTTTGAAAGACTGGACATTTTTGTGTGTAATTTTAATTGTATCATAAATTTGTGTGAACTGTTAAACTAAAATGCCTTAGAGTTTTTCAGTAGTTGACTCTATTATTTTTGATATCTTTTTGTGGGTTAATTGCTTCAGATTTTTAATTTGGACATCACTGGAATAGCTGTTTCAAAAAAAGATTACGACTAGGTGTTTTGGGAGGGTATGTTTGTTTATTGGGGGTTTGGGTTTGGGGATTTTTTTGGTGGCTGGCCAGTACAGGGAATAAAGAATTATGTTCCGTTTGTTCATTGGTTTTGTGTAATGCTCTATGCTCACAAGATTAAAATCTCAATATTATGCTGTCTAATTTACTTTAAAATATGTTAGTATTGCACAGTGGGATACTGCACTAGAAATCAAGCTTCACATCTAGGTCTAGAATCTATAGTACTGTAACTGAGAATCTATGCTGCACAGCTTGTCAGCTAACATTATGCCCAAGTGCTTCAGTTATCCAACACATGAGACACTTATAATTGTCCTAATGAAAGCTAGAAATGAGTTTTTATCAAAATGCTATTGCCTTTTTTATTTCAGAGCTCTCACACTTAATGATGTACTTTCTTCAGAGTGCGGAGGTGGAACCCAGAGTTGGGGGAGGGGTTCCTTCTGAAGAAATTCATTAGAAGACCTCCATCTGGGACAAAGCGTATCTGAATGTGGCACGGCATTGACAATGAAGCAACTATTCAGGAGACAAGCATTCCTCGGGGCTCAGCCTACCCTCCCTATTGTCTTCGCAGGAGGCACAGGAAAAAGAGATCTTGAAAATTCCCCAGGTTGAGTTCTTGAGTCACAGAGAGTCCCAGTGTTTCAGGAGGTTTGTGTTCAGCTCCCCCTGCAGTCCCAGGCACAGTGTCACTCAGAGCACAGAAGTACTCAGCTGAGTCGCTCCAATGGGCTGAGGGTTTCTTCAGGTGGAAGAAGGTTTCACTCTTAAAATATTCAGCCTCGAAACCTTTGATGCCTTTAACCAGGGTGTTCCCTGATACATACTTCAGGACAAGCTGGAGTCCTTGGTTGGGGTATTGCACGTACCAGAAGAGAGATGGCAGAACAGAAGATGGGTAGTTGCACCTCAGCTCCAGAGGGGCTTCTTCAGAGACAGTGAGGTGGCGGTCAGGCTGGGTCACTGACTGGGCTCCTGTTCCTCCTGCAACATCAATGCTGTGTAAGTAAAAACATCACAGCCTTGGCTATGAAGAAAGGTGTCTCTATTCAGATCCAATTAGAACACAGTCACTTTTTGTGCGAGGAGGAGAGGGGTGGAATGTTACTCACTCAGGGCAAAAATCACCTCAAGCGCTGGTATGAGCAGCAGGAGCATGGCGGAGCAGTGGAATCGCTGAAGGACCCTGAGCCAGTCGGGACTGTAGCCGAGGTCACTGATCTTCAGCAGCCAGGAGGAGAGGGGAGGCCGGTCTGGACAAGCCCCTTGCTTTGAAAAGTGTCAAAAACGGTTAGAGAGGGGCTCGCCCTGAAGAATTCTGGCTGCTTTCTGGTCTCGTGTTCTTGTTACATGTCCCTGTCTACACAGACATCAGTGAGAATACATCAGGTACGTGAATGGAGGAGGGGCTCAGTGGGTTAAGATGATCCGCTGCAGGAACAGATGGCACCTGTGAGCAACACCGCCCTCTAGAGGTCAGAGGAGGGACCAAAAATCCAAGAAGGTGGTTCCCTTCTCATTTCACAGATGTGATGTCAAAACTTCGATGGAACGTTTTTTTCCTTCCCAATTCTGTGATAATGTCTCGTTAATCTTAAAATACATTAAAAATGGAAGTTACATAAAAGTAGAAGAATAATTTACTTCACCAAGAATTTAGTCACAATATTCTAGACTAGATCACATGTTGTTAATCAATGCAAACTAATAAAGGCAATAATTTTCTTTGCCACGCAGAAAGTGTGAAATAGACTCCTTGGTTTTAGGACAACAAGTTTGACATTTGTAAAGCTAGGAGAAGATAACTTAGGTATCCCACACTTAAAAAGAGAAAGTGAGAGTCCCTTTCCAATTGTAAATACTCAGAACAAACTGATATATTATGCCAAATTGTGGGTGCATGACACTACAAAAAACGTTATGAGGCCCATCTGTAGAGAAACCAGAAAAGAATAAGGGTAAAGAAAGTACGACATACAAACAAGTGATTCTGAAAACAAGGAGAGAAAAAGAAAGTGAATTTACTTGAACTCAGTAAAGCTGGAAGGAATGCAACCAGCATACCAGAAACAAGAGAAAGTTGTGAAAGGTATAGAAGACATGGGAGAGATTGGCAGTGACACCACAGAGCTAAGCAAGCAGCAGCCTGTGTGGGTGGGATACGGTGCCTATCAAACAGGGGCAGGCTGCTCTATGGGCTAATAAGATGAAAATCTTGAGGGAGAACATGTCCCCACACAACCCAGTTCAGCATAGAGATCACTAGATTCTAAAAATGAAATAAACAAATAAGGAGAGAAACGTTAGGTGAAATGAGAATCTGGCAAACATGGATCTTTATTATAAGGTCAGAACAAATTTACTCCTTTCTGTAAATTCCTTTGGCTCATACCAACCTAAAACCAGTTCTCCCTTGAGCTTCTGATTTGTATCTTGATCCTGCCTACAGATTTTCTCTAAAGGACAAGACCAAATTGTGTAGCCAGTTGTAAATTTTAAATGTTACCAGGATGTGCTTGTAATTCAAAATTTCTAAGTACATGTACTCTCCTCCTATCTCTCCAAAATTCTCACTGAAATAAAACTTATATGTAGAAACAAGAAAACCTAAATTCACAATGGGAAAAATAGTAAAAAATTAAAAGATATCAAGAGTTCCCATAAAATGTAAAGTAGATATGAGCACATTAATGGATGAAACAGAGAGGGGAAAATCACAGCCCAGAAGGAACATTGAGGAGATTATAACAGAAACATGAATGAAAGAAACCCACTCCTTGGGACCCTGAAGAGGTTCTAGGTAGAGAAAGACAGTAGGTCTGATGGAAGGTGAGAAGGACAGAACTCAAGGGGGCAAATTGATGGTCAATATGTGGAATAGCTACACTAGTCTCCCTCTGAATTCTCCATCCTGCTGCTGTACTTACGTGTGAGAAGAAAAGTAGGGTAGCCTTTATCCCAAGCATTTATAAAATTTAAATGAATCACTTGGATATGCTGAAGTTTTTAGTGTGAACAATGACAAAATTAAGCCATCTTCAAACTGACATTAGGTGCAGGGAAAGGAGAGGAGAAACTTACCAGTTGCATGCTCTTTTATCCCAACAAGAAGCCTGACAATTCCCGTGATATGTCCACATGTTCATGCCAATGGGCCAAGCACCCTATTCAAGAAGAAACCTTGTGTGGAACTTGGGCACAATGACATAAGGAGTCCATCCTCCTACCTGGTCCTTCATTCTGAAATATAAACTAAGAACAAACCTAAAACCAGTTCTCCCTTGAGCTTCTGATTTGTATCTTGATCCTGCCTACAGATTTTCTCTAAAGGACAAGACCAAATTGTGTAGCCAGTTGTAAATTTTAAATGTTACCAGGATGTGCTTGTAATTCAAAATTTCTAAGTACATGTACTCTCCTCCTATCTCTCCAAAATTCTCACTGAAATAAAACTTATATGTAGAAACAAGAAAACCTAAATTCACAATGGGAAAAATAGTAAAAAAATTAAAAGATATCAAGAGTTCCCATAAAATGTAAAGTAGATATGAGCACATTAATGGATGAAACAGAGAGGGGAAAATCACAGCCCAGAAGGAACATTGAGGAGATTATAACAGAAACATGAATGAAAGAAACCCACTCCTTGGGACCCTGAAGAGGTTCTAGGTAGAGAAAGACAGTAGGTCTGATGGAAGGTGAGAAGGACAGAACTCAAGGGGGCAAATTGATGGTCAATATGTGGAATAGCTACACTAGTCTCCCTCTGAATTCTCCATCCTGCTGCTGTACTTACGTGTGAGAAGAAAAGTAGGGTAGCCTTTATCCCAAGCATTTATAAAATTTAAATGAATCACTTGGATATGCTGAAGTTTTTAGTGTGAACAATGACAAAATTAAGCCATCTTCAAACTGACATTAGGTGCAGGGAAAGGAGAGGAGAAACTTACCAGTTGCATGCTCTTTTATCCCAACAAGAAGCCTGACAATTCCCGTGATATGTCCACATGTTCATGCCAATGGGCCAAGCACCCTATTCAAGAAGAAACCTTGTGTGGAACTTGGGCACAATGACATAAGGAGTCCATCCTCCTACCTGGTCCTTCATTCTGAAATATAAACTAAGAACAAAATAACATAAGTCATTTGTAAGTATAGATGGTATCTCTTTCTATTGGTCTCTCTACACATGGACACATGAGTCATCAACTGTGAGTCATCAGAGTCATTTCTACCTGGATACTAAGTGATGGATAGAATGTCAGGTAGTCATTCCCAAGAAGAACTAATATAATATACTGGTTCCCTAGTAACTATTCTTAAAATCCTTAGTCTTAGCTTTGAATAACAGTTTTTATATTTATTTATTGTATTTATTTATATATTTTCTGTTAACAAGTGCAATAAACTACATTATTTAACTCTTCCCAATTGACAAGACCAACATCAAAGCACTCAGATATACAAATCAAATATTATTAGACCTAAAGACACAGATAGACCCCAAAACATTAATAGTTGAGGACCTTAACACTCCTCTGTCAATATTGGACAGATCATCTAAGCAACAAATTAGCCAAGAAACACAAAATTTAAACTATACTTTACACAATTGGACTTGACAAACGTGTACAGAACAATTCATCCAACAACTACAAAATATACATTCTTCTCATCAGAATATGGAACGTTACTGAGAACAGAACACAGGTTAGGTCGTAAATCAATTCTTAACAAATTTTTTTTTCCTTTTTGTCTTTTTTACTGACCGGCAACAGGATCGAAACCCTCGGTGTTGCGTCCGCACTGCGCTCAGCCAGTGAGCAGGAACCGGTCTCCACATGG